GTTTAAACATTTCGTTCTAAAATTGCTGTTACATTGTGCCATCATCCTGTGGCTTAGGTGGAGCTCGTGAAATTCCGGTGCAGTCACCTCATTTGTGTACGATCATCATTGCAATGTCACTATTCACAGCTGGAGCATACAGACAAATAAAAAACATATTGATTGTAGCAGGGCTGATGTATATTAATGCTTCTCTATTGATAATAATAACTTTATAAGTTCTTTAAGTCTTGCATAGAACACTGCATTAATGTGTTGCAATGTAACCACCATTTATGATCGCTAGCATGTTTAGTAGTTTTGTAATGTATTTTATTTAAAAGGTAATTTTGCTTCCGCATCACGACAATTAGTAAGATGCCGATGATTCAATCCCTCATCATGCACATTTAAGAAATATTGTGATTTGTACACAGTATTGCATGTACTCAAGATGTGGACGTCTATTCAATTTACACATTATATTGCTTTGCACTAGATTCAGACTAAAATGCACACATTTCAGTAATTTCCGCATGATACGTCTTTCCATAAGATGCGGAGTCCGCATCATACGTCTTATGCGGAGTCCGCATCATACGTCTTCCATATTCCAATAATTCCGTATGTGAGGTCTCCGCATCTTACGGAACGTTTCAGTAGGGTTAAAGGCCACAAGAGACAAAAAGTGGAACAGTGGATTGGTTTAGATCAGTGAAATAGATTTTGATAGCGTTAACTTCATTATTAAAGCTTTACCATAGAAATACCTGGAAAAATCAAGACAAATATTTTATTTTGAATGTTCCGATAAAATAGCGTCATGAATTTCAAAGTTATTTGTCAAATTTTGGCCACGTTACATTTCCTGTAACTTGATAACTTAAGTTGATGACCCATTAAAAGTACAGTTGCCTGCTTTTTAACCGAGTAGAACTAACGTCAGACATAGTAGACACCATCAAAATATACTACATCATCTTATTCAGTGCGAAATTTTAAACTGGCGTCCCCACAGGTGCTTTCTTTTTGCGCGTTTTTTCGCTTTGCAATTACGCCTTGTCGTGGTAAGAGATAGAATGAAAATAAGGAGAAAAGCGGGAGATTAACCAGGGCTGACGGAGTTCCGCAGGCCACCCTGCACTGGGGAAGGGGAAATGGGAAAAGACAGTTGTAGAGGAGGGGGAAAAGTCTCGGACTGGGCCGACGCGTAACAGTTCCACGTTTCACATCACAATCGATGAAATAGGCCGGTGTGTTTAAGGAAACGCAACAGCACTCTCGTCGCTTTTCGGATCTGGGATAAGCAGCACTGTAACAATGTTGGTAGTGGTGGTGTCACGGACGGCTATTTTCGGCGACACCGCGTCACGGCAATTAACGGGCGCCGTACTCGCCGACTGACCGTGAGAAACGGCGGCACATGAAAGGGACCGATAAGTGCAAAATGGGGGTGCTCTCCTTAGAACGTCGCCGCCGACAGTTAATCCTTTTGTAACCGTGGCGACGTCTGCAAGGTCGTAGAAGGCCGCGTTATACCCCGTACAAGGATTAGACTACAAGATGCCCGGCTGAGAGCTAAGTGGTTGACCGTTCCCACGGAGAAAAGCGTGGCAAACGCTCTGGTGGCCAAGCCGTATGACAACAACCCGACAGGTTGTCACTCTCGCTAGTTGCGGGCCCTGGGGCGGAGTTTCCCCTCAATTAAACGCGCATGATTGGACCCAGGTAGAGGTCTCTTGTCCCCAAGGAAGAGAGCGAGGAGACACGAGGGGGATTTAAGCGCAGGATTTTGCCCTGCTAGGCAGACTAGTCGCTGACCAAGATGGTGTAGAAACAGATCAACAAGCATCTCTTCTAGAAGTTTTTAGTGTGGCTCTGTATCGGCTGGCCACCTAAACTTAGCCGTTCGTCTAGTTGTGACGCGATATTAACGTCTGCAACGTAGACATCGGGACTTCGCCTCGAGTTAGCTCAACCTGCTCGAAGTCACCTGCCAGCACTAGCCTCCCGGAGCCACCAGCGTTGCAAGACCGCCGACATCGCAGTCGTGCGAGAACTCTTTTCGACTTCTCGCTTCCGATCGTCGGGGACACAACGCTGCCGGTCATCACACGTATGCCTTCACCTGTTTATATCTTCGAACTTTCTCCTCCGTCGTTCTATTCTTGTTAGTTTGTGTAGTTTGTAATAGTTCTCTCTCGTAAGCTGATTTATTGTTTCTGTTATATATTTCTTTAATTGTATCAAGTGTCGTTGTATTTTGTTAGTTGTATTGAAGTGTTGTATTAGATCCCGTGTTGCTGCAATATCACTAGAGTAAAGTTTGTTTTGTTTTCCCACGTCTCTGGTCTCTTCACTGTCTCTGCTTGCGTACGGAACGAACCAACCTGCTGTCATTCCCGTCGCCGACTTCGCACTGGCGACGCTAGAGTGGCAGCTTGTAACAGGTGGTTAGTTGAGGAAACTGCGCCCATTCCCGAGCAATCCGCGACCATTCCCGCAGCCCAACAGAAAAAACGGCGCATTGTCAGGGGGAGGAAGACGGATGTGAAAAATTGCAGCCTATTTACGGAGTGAATGATGATGAGTGCGACGAAGCGTCCGTCCATGCCTACGTGCTTCCATCCGTCCGTTCTTGCTTTCAGTCGTCCATGCGTCCGTCGATGCTTCCGCCAGTCCGTGTGTGCTTCCGTCTGTCTGCGAAACCGTGCCTCTGTCCATCCGTTCATCCATCCCTGCGTTCGGATGGAGTGACGGACAGTGGCATGAACGGTCGGACGCACGGAATTACCCATGCAAGGACGGACGGATGAACGGAAGCAAGAATGAAAGGAACGTTAGCACGGACTGATGGAAAGACGGACGCACACATGGATGAATGGTAGCACGGATGAACAGAAGTACGGACGCATGGTCAGATGCACGGAAGCATGGGTAGATGCACTGATGGACAGGCTGATGGAAGCATGCATTGGCAGACAGTCGGAAGGACGCACGTACAGGCGAAGAGAAGCATCGGTACATGGACGAACCGACGGAAGCACGAACAGATGGACGAATGGCAGCACGAACGGATGGACGGAAGGATGTAAAGATGGTTGAACGGGCGGACGCATAGGCAGTCAGACACACGGTCAGATGGACGGACACTTCGTGCCTCCCCTCATCATTCACTCCACCGATATGCTGTGAAAGCAACTAACGACATCCAGTTAGTTATATTATTCCCAAGGACATATAGACACAATGTCATCTTTTTAGCAACTTATAAACTAGAGGTGGCTACATACCACACAAGCAGGAGGGAACAGCCCGCGGCCGAAGGAGCTTCGCCCCTAAAACTTGGTTATTCGAAATGATGAAGTTAGCAGTAAAAGAGAAGGATGTGCAAACATGAGGGTCTCGTCCGTTCATGGGGCAGACCAATGCTGATGGGAGATGGGCAAGTCGCCAGGCGCTCAATAGAAGACGGTGATCCCGATGGCCTGGATGAACTTTACGAAACATGGCATGACAAAAACTTTATTTGATTAGTGTGTGCACTTGCAATTTTCGCATACGTAAATGTCTAACAAAAGGACACTATGTGCTCATGCGCATGTGCATGTTCGCAGTGTCTTCCATGCGTATACGTGTATGAGTTCACACAGTTCCTTTTGTTTTTATACATGCCTGTACCAATTCTTACTTGTACGTGCTTGATGCGGTATGTACCTGTACTAACGCATACGTGCGTGTGGGGAAGGCCACTATAGGCTACGGGCCTCGTATTCGGGTGGAGTCTTTTTAGGGGCCAAGCTTTTAATAGCGGCACCCGTTCGTCCCTCGTAGCCGTTGTAGTAGTGTGTAACAGGTATAACATTTTCACCTCCAAGGTGAAAATGACCTGTGAGAGATTTCTTCTGTGCATTGTTGAACAACAAAAGATAGTGCTCAATGTACGTGCCAATGGCTGCTAAGGGGAAATGGAGACAGGAGAATTCGGTTTTTAGGTAACGCGCACGCTGCGAATTTTTTGTTGTTCAACAACGCACAGAAGACAAGAATAGGTTGCTACGTTATACTCGCTGGGCGTAACCTCCTAGGTTTTAGAAAGGTTTAGCGAACGTTGGGCCGCAGTTCCATAAAAACAGTGAACTAGTATATTACATGAACTCGAGGTACTTAAAGGTGTGAAGTAGACGCGAAGCGCAAGCCGTAAGAAAGTGTGCGTGTGCCACCTCTCGTTCAGTCCTTGGAATGTCCGCTGGATGGCGGTGCTTCTATATGGCGAATATATGATGAAAAGTTGCGAGATGGTGGTGCTTGGAGTGTTGAATAGATGGACGAACGGACACACAGACAGATGCATGGACGGACGCACGGATGGCTGCACGGACGGATGTGCGCATAGACGGACGCAGGAGCAGATGCATGAAGAAAGCAGGAACGGACGCACAGATGAACGTGCGGACGCATGAACAGACGCACGCACGGACGGGCGGAATAACGCATGGGCGGCCACACAGACGCACGCATGGATGGACGGAAGAAAGAACGAATGGACGGACGGATGCTTCGCCCCATTATCCATCATTCACTCCGTGGATATGCTGCCATTTTTTTTCTGTGCCGGGTCTGGGTACGTGTGGGTCTACAGTTATTTAAGGGCCCCCACCTGCATCGTGTTCAGCTTGTATCTCAGTGGAGAAATGTAATGGCAGGCCTGATAGAAGGTCTTGGTAATTTTATTGTAGCTCATCAAGCAGGATTTGGTGTTTTTTGTCATAGGCAACAGTGGCATGTCTCTCTACAAAATGAATGGGTTGAGTAAGTTTGCAGCAATCACGATTATTAGGACCACCTAAGCTTTACTAAATGAAATAAATATGAAAACAGACCTATGTCTGTGTTTCACCTACACATTGACGCAGCTCTACTGGCCAGGAATCAACACTATTCCCTCATGCTCAGCAGTGCAAAGCCGCAGCCGCCGGGACACCACAACAGGTGCTTGACTGTTTCAAATGCAACGCCTGTGTTTTCGAAAAAATAGGTTTATTTACAAAGGCGCGGTTGTTCATTCAAGTAGCAGTGACATTTGGTTCCCCCGCAGTAGCCGTCGCGTCGGCCAACAGCATTCCTCATTTTTCGCAGGTGAAGTGATCATCACCACCAGCCGTGACCGCCACCATAGCCACCACCGTATCCTCCGCCGTATCCTCCGCCGTATCCGCCTCCACCGTAGCCTCCGTGAAGAACGATGAGCTTGCCGTAGCCGCCTCCGTAACCACCGCCGTAGCCGCCTCCGTAGCCACCACCGTAGCCACCTCTGCCATAGCCACCATAGTGGATACCGGCGTTTACCGCAGTGGCCGCCAGGACGACAAAGAGAAGCGTTGCGAGCTGCAAACAAGAAGCACTCACTGGTCAGTCGTTTGAACAAGGAAGAGTCGTTTAGAATGCCCGTGGCAAAAATGAAGGGACAACATCGATAGAACAGGAATCCTTAAAGGAAGTACAAATGTGGGCATAATTTATTTAACCATAGTCAATTTACTCACATAGCCAGCAGTAGACATTATATGCAGAAGCTTGCATAAGAAAACAAAGCACAACATATAAAGAGATCACCTGTATAACAAAAAAAAATTACACGAATTAATGGGTCTATACAAAAAGCCAAGCATGGACTCTATTCGTTGCCGACCCGTCTCCGTAAATGACATCATCACAAAAGTGACTGCTAGCAGCATCTTAAAGCGCCAGTAAATAAAGCAGTAATCATTTGTGAATTTTACTGGATCGTCTTCGTTATACATATAAAGTGCTTTCTGAAAAAGTTATCGTGAGCTGAGAGGGAGTACAAGTGCAAGTGCAATTTACTCTCTCCTCATTCTCTGATACCTTCCGGGATGCCTGCTTCGCTTCCTGACTGTTGTAACAGGGTCTTGTCAAAACAAATCGAATCAGAACACCGCCGTTATAAAAAGGAGTTCACAACACAGCACCAACTATTCAAACACGGTTCCTGAATTTTAATCGAAGTTTATCTTCTACCGCCTAGTAATTTGCTGTGGTAAATGTTTGCGTTGATGAGTGTTTCACACGTGCTTGGTATGTTTCTGGAATTTCTTTTCGGCTGCTTCCGTCCAACATTTGTTTTTTTTACTCTGTACGCATATGTTTTTTTTTCTTCTTAGTCAACTTATCACTCATTGTTGCCGACCCGGCAGTTGTGAGCTTACATAGACACCACATGTTCACAAAGGAAAACGGTGTGCTGCTTGCTGCAGCTGGGAGTTTGCTATCTTTACTTAGGGAAGAACCGTGATATCGCTGCAATGTCAGCCTGCCTAACGGGTCTGGACATCCAAGATTTGTATTCTAGTACTGCGGTGCCAGTTACTCCGAAATATATTTGTCTCCAGAAGGTCAATAAGCACAGTATAAAAAAACTTGGTATAGGTCAAAGGTTCCTTGATAAATGATTGCTCCTGAAGTTTGTCGTTCTGACAGTGTCTTGCACGCACGTCATATTCCTTCAGTTTTTAGCAGAAATTCAGTGATACAAAAAAGCACGATCAGATAATTATTCGTGGTAATCTGTGGATTGCCAAGAAACTTATGCACCTAATAATATGTTGATCGATTCATTACTATCATTTCTTCCGGAAAACTTAGAGTTTGGAAATGCCAAAAATTGACAACAGTGAGTCCTTATGAAAGAAATTATTGGCAAGCCCCCATTCGTAGCGCGAAGCAACAAGCTAATTCATTCGGATTACTCAGAAAAGAAAGTTTTAAATAAAAAATCACCCTGGTTCGGGGATAGAACCCTGCACCAATGCCTTTCCAGGGCGTTCAATACCACTTGTTACTTTCATAGCCATTCCACCATCTTGGGGAATTCCGCCGAAGTTATATGCAAAGACCTTACCATACTCTTCATCTTTTTTCCTGCGTTAGTCCCTTTGTGATCAGAAGCAACGGACTAGTGTGGATTCGGGTGCCGCACTCGGTTTCTTATATACATCTCAAGCACCGCCTCTCATCAGCCCCTGCGTAACTCCACTGGGAGGACCAGCGAGACTTTGAGATTGTGGAAAGAGCGAAAGGACGAGAGGCATCTTACTGACTGTTGGGAAAGCGCCCAATCGGCGTACAGTTGGTGCATAATAGAAAAGAAAATTGCTCTCGCAGGTTTGCATAATTCCGCATAATTGCGTGCAGTGCGACGCCCATAAAAGAAAGATAAAACATCGAAAGATACCACCGCTTTTTTCGACCGTATGCATCGTAGCACGCAACGCCTTCAAAAGCGCGAACAACTGCAACGCTATGTGGGCGTTGCAGTTGTTCCTTTTTAACCATACATTAGGAGACGTATTAGTTCCTATGGTCAACCGTGGATCAGTTGCCAAAATATGCTGCTGTGTGCAAGTTTCCGTATTCGACATCGTATCGTGCGACCAAAGCTTCCAGCGAGCGTACTATAAAAACGAGACATGCTTAGACAGGGCATCACTATAATCTGTCATTGATGTAACCCGCGGTATGCAACTTTTCAGTCTCGCAAAAACATCTCCATTTTCGATACCTTAATGCGAACTTCGTTTATATGTTTTAAAATAAAGTTGCCGTCATTAATGAAAACTGCATCTAAATTAAAGGAATGAAAACACCTGTAATATTCATCACCTCTCCTAGGTAGCCATATGAAATTCAGTGTGTTGAAAACGGCTTAATGATTTGTTTCAGCACTTCAATTGTCAAAATTGTGTCAGTCGCGCTCAGTATCTTGGCGGGAACTTGACATGCACTGCACCGAACTTACTTCCGCGAAGCATGGTTTATAAAAACGACGCCAGTGGGCGGCCCCTGGAGCCTTGGCGTGACCAAGGAAAGGGTCCGTGCGGAAATAACGCGGGCGCTGCGTTGCTCGTGCCAGTGGGACGCGCCCCAGTGGCGGGACCCCTTTCACGCCGGGCACACACCGTGGGCGACTGTGTTTGATTGCCGCCGGGCTGATTCGGGCCAGCGATTTCTGGCTGCAGCTTGCGCCAGGCGTGCAACTCTCAGATGTCCACTGGCCACTTCGCTGTACGCGCTATCGCTAAACGGCAGCAGTGCTACAGTGTACTAGAAGGGGGGAAGCGGAATGAACTAGGCGGCCGCACTGGTTCTGGGCTGATTCTCCGGCGGGTGGCAGCAGCGGCAGCGCTTTGGTCACTTTGTACTGAAGATGTCAAGAGCGTCTTGATTTGGAGCACGTGCTTCGTAGACGGCGGAAGCGTGTAATTGTTCGTCTTTAGCGGGTTTAATGCAATGCTGTGCCTTTATCGGCAAATGTACACCTACTACGCGCCATGTTGCACATTTAATGTGCAACAAGGCGGCAGGCTCCTGAAACATTTAATGTTTCAGGATCCTGCCAACCGTCAAAACAAACAGACGACGTATAATCAAAGTTCGCACTGATCCGCCTTGCTGCTTATTTCGCCACGATAGGAGGTTATTCAATCAATCAATCAATCGTCAATGAGCGTTCTGAGCCATACTACGGCGTAAGTGGCTACTGCCGAACTGCAAAAGAGTGAAGTATCAAGACCACGATGAAAACATAGGCTCTTTTTTCGTCGGCAGTTTCTACGGTATCCATAGCACTGATTCTTATATGGGTCGACATGCGCTAGATTGTTTCATGAACAACACGAGTACAAGTAACCTTGCCATAACAATTCTTTGATTACTCAGTCTTACCCTGGCATTTTTGCGGAGGGTCATAATGACTTCTGAAACCCTTATCTTGTTTTAACCGCGTGGTGTCGCGCCAATTGTGCGTCGCTTTGCTAGCTCCAAGTTCTTATATTACCTGGAGGCCGAGCCGAAGCAACACGTTTACTTCCAAATCACGAACCCGAAGCGAAAGATTTTTTAAGCCCTACAAATTTCACAGTTGTATGTGTAGCCGGTTTTTTATTCTGCCTAAACTCACTTTAACCAGATCTCATCTTCTAGCGACAGCTAATATTGCACTGCCTTTCAAATATTCCATTAGAGCGATGCCCTGGCGTCTCTTCAAAGTGTGAGCAGCTGCCGGAAAAGGTGGAATCGAAATGTTTGAGGGCTTCCGGGCACAGCATAGTGTTCGTTAAGAGTTAGAGTAAAATGCCACTCCACCACTTTACTTAGGCCATTGCATGGGGGTGGCTAAAAGCTGTGATCGAATTTTTAACAGTCCAAGACTTCGCGGAAAGCATACACTGGATTGAATTCAAGGTTGTTTTGATCGGGGGAAGTGAGTGGGAATGCCCGGCGTGAGAGCACGTGGGTGGTGGCGTCGGCTGCTTAATCATACAGTTATAGTGCACCGGGCTTACCGGGATATCGGGAGTACCGTGATAGAGGAATCGAAGTGCGCATGCGCAGATATACATTACCCGCACCGCTTACCGTACGCGCGGTATTTTTCATATTTAGCGTTATCGTGATAGCGTTGGTGTAAGTAGTGTACGAAAACATGGCAGCGCTCTCAGACGGCCCCTTCGAAGTGACTTTGGCGTAGCTGTTGAGTGATTCACCTTGTTTACAGCAAATGACTGTTTAAAGTGGCTTCCCTTGCCTTCAGTTAGCTTTGACGACCGTGTATTACGGATAAGTTGGCGTAGTTTTTGAGATAGCTTCCGCATTCAAACGTGTTTAGGCCTTACTACAAGATCAATGTAAATAAATCGGTAACATAAATGTCCTAGCGCTTGGTGCGTGGTTCATAATTATTTACTTTAATTATTACTAAAATAAACTTGTAACAATGTTTCGCACCGTGACACAGGCAGACATTCTCGTTTTTTTTCTTTTTACTGTTCTTACACCTCAGTCCTTCGATAGGTGGCACCAACATCCAAGCTGGAGCACGTAACCACGTAAAGGCTATACCGCTAAACTGTAAGACGCTTTCTGCAACGAACGTTTGCTGCGTGGTAACGCCATTCCCTTAACCTCCGCTATCACGCTAACGGTAAACTTTAATTGTCTATTCGAGTTCCATGTGAGCAGGAACCCAGACTAGACGGTGGGGTGCAGGGAGGGATTCCCTGGTAGTCCAGACGTTGCAATAAGTGGTAGGCCACGTACGCGACACAGCCGTTCACGATGTTTCGACAGGACCCTGAGAGTCGGAGATGATGGTTTGTTACCTGGGGTGGCAAATGGCCAATGCAATGGTGACTTCCTCCGCACATTGGATTATGTCCCGAGCTCGAAACGTGAGCCCGTTAACTGTTTGGTTATCGTTTACGACAGCGGCCGTGTACCAACCCCTTTAGAGTGGGCGGAAGGCGTCCACATAGAACACGTCGGGTTTCGATTCATGTTAGCGGGCCAGGGCTTCCGCCCGCGCCAGGCGCTGGCCATTAAGGTCTCCTTTTGTCACATTGTCTATGAGTACGCACGTGGAGGGCGCATCTCTACTCGAATGGGAGTTGAACGCGATCTTCCGTGATGTGAATCTGTTGAATGTGTATGCGGGTAATAGGCGGTGCCCCGTTACCGTCTGTGAAAGTCGAGTCTACTCATTTGTGAAGTGGGCCTCTCGAAGCTTTCGAAACATATTCAACAAGCCCATGCCTAGACCGCGCTGTTTCGAGGTGTTCGCGGGGAGCTCGAGAGCTCATTTTACAATTTTGCAACACACGTGGGAGCGTTCTCCTTACAGTGATTCTACAAGACCAATACAACGCAGGACGCTCAACAGCGCTTCTAAGGCATTCATCTGCGATGTTAGAGGTGGACGCCGGCGTAAAAGCCTTCCTTTTGAGCAACAGAACTTCGACGTATGTTCAGTGCCGTGAAATGGCAATGCCAATTGCATCAACACGTAAGCAGCCCATTCATAAAAAGTCTCAGCTTTGCCGCAAAGCTGAAACAATGAATGCAATAGCAAGAAATTGAAAGGTCACACACAGAATAGAAAGCAGATTGAAACGTGCTCCGCATTTCTCACGCACAAATGACGCACGAAACGTACTCACAGATACGGATGCACGCGAATAGGCGTCTAATTTGTTACTTCGCTGTGACTAAAAAGCGAGCGCTTTTCGCAAACGAAGACTGAAATGATTGCAGTGCCCTTTGTGCGCCCGGTAACTACAGCCGCTACAGCAGAATCACTCCATGTAAAACCTGAGGCCATCGAAGACGTACGATCATTCCTTCCTTGCCAACACGAGATAAGGGCACACGAGGGAGCATCGCTCCCTTTGTCTAAGCCTGGCAAAGTACGCTAAAAAATTATAGTGGGCGCCGACGCGGCACGTGGTGAGGCGCGCTCATTGCGCCATTTGCCCGGTAACGCTGTAAGCACCATTCCTCCCGAGATGCTCGTGAGCAGCGGTAAGTGGTTGATAAAATAGCTTGCCGTTTAACCAGTGAATGACGTGCTCCGGGAAGTCTGATTGGTTAACGCCTCCATTTTACAACGCAGAGGTCCCACGTTCGATTCCGTGCGTCGGAGTGTTTTTCCGGGGTTTTTTATCTTTTTTGCATATACATATATATATGTAGATACGTATACATATACCGCGAGTGACGGCAACGTTGGCGCCGGCGGCAAAACACAGCCGAGAGTGTCTATATAATTGCTATTCCTGTAAAAGGAAACTGAGACTGGTAAAGTAGAACAGACGGGTCACTGACACAGGCAGACCCAATGCATCTATTATGAAAGTTTCTGTTTATTGCAGTTATATGACTTCCAATTGTCCTGCCGCGTTCATGGTCATGATTGCTTCTCGTGGATCAATTTTACAACACCTTGCGGAAATTTTATACATATTGTATTCCATGGTGTTTGTATCGGGGAATTTTTCAGAGAATGCCGGCGTGAGAGCACGTGGGGTGTGGGGTCTCTGCTAATTAAATTCAGTGCACCGGCTACCGGGATATCGGGTACCGTGATAGAGGAATCGAAGTGCGCATGCGCAG